GAAGCTTGATCCTGTAGCAAGGGGAGGGCCTGTCTATCAAAAAGATATCACTGCTGACAAGTTGATTTTGGGGCATAAAGCAACATTAATAGCCCCCATGCATTGGAGAGCATTGTCTGGCAGCCACCAACTGATGATGACCAATGCCCGTGTGACCCACCACCAAAGCCTGCTTCTCACTGAGAGACTGAGTGGATTGTGTTCGCCTCCACCAGCTAGCCTCATCCCACCACTCTTCTGTCTGTGGAGACTGGTGAACTAGGGATTCATGACTGCCATCAACTGTTGGTTAAAGAGACTGGAGTTTGCAAAGATCTTAATGACATCCTGCTGGCTGGGGAGATGATGACCAGTTCACTGCCATAAAAGGTAAAGAAAGGACTGGGGCAGTGGTACTGCTAGACAAAGAGAAATCCATAAACATTAACAGGCAATAGGTATGCTTTTTCAACTGTTCATGTGCATGGGACTGTCTCAACTGTTTGGCTAAAAAAAATTACTGAAGAAAATTTTCCGAAGATTCAAAATACCTAAGGTAGTAAAATCAGACAATGGTACAGGTTTTGTGACCCAGGTAAGTCAGTCACTGGCCAAGATACTGGGGATTGATTAAAATTACATTGTGCATACAAACCCAAAAATTCACGTAGAAAGTATAAATAAAACCATTGAGGAGACCTTCACTAAATTGACCGTGGAGACTGGTGTTAATGATCAGATAGCTCTCCTACCCTTTGTGCTTTTCAGGTTTAAAAACACCCCTGGACCATTTGGGCTGAGCCCCTGTAAATGGCTCATTGGGGGGCTCCCTCTACTGGTGGAAATTACCTCTGTACATAGTGCTGATGTGCTGTTTTCTTAAGCCTCTGTTTGCTAGGCTTAAGGTGCTCGAGTGGGTGAGACAGTGAACAAGGAAGCAGCTCTGAGAGACCTACGTGGTGGGAGACTTGGAAGTTTCACATCACTTCCAAGTTGGAGATTGAGATTTCATTAGATGTCACTGCACAGAAAACTTGAGACTTGGAGGGTGGAAATAAGGGAGAGGGAACTGGGATCGACATGTATAATAATAAATTACAAAAAAACTATGCTCTGACTCAAATATTTATGTTCAAGGACAAGTTACTGGGGAAAAGGATTTCTATTTTTTTTTTCCCACAGAAAACGAAAAGCTGTAGATTTCTTCCATATTAATGTGGTTTGATCAAGCCAGACCGACTGAAACAGAATACCAAGAGAGCCTACACTCAAAACAGCTGGACAAAGCAGCCTTACAGACTACAGCCAGGATTTCAGCATCTTCTTAGAATCCCCCATGAGAGCACCCCTTACAAGCAGGAAGTAGTTTGGAAAGAACGATGCCCAAATTCCCAAATATTGTCTATAAAAGTTTGTTTTCATTTAAATGAACTTGGTTATAAAAAATAAATAATAAAAAAGATGGAAAAATACTGTTAAAAGTTTATGATTATCCTCTAAAATTAGTAAAGCAATGCAAGAGTTCTTATCAATGCTGTTAACAGTTTACCGATCAGAGATAATGACTTTTCTCTAAACTCAGTAAACCAAATCTCTAGTACCCTGACCACAGGCAGGTGAAAATAAGTGTTTTTTTTTTTTTTTATCTCATGCTTCAAAGGAATTACTGGCATTTTATAATATGTCTGTAAATTGTGACCAAAGATCTGTTCCTTGTAATTTCTGTATAAAAACCCAATACTCTAAAGTAAAAATGGCAGCAGTTGCAAACCGCCTCCAGTGTGTTTGTTTCTGTCAAGACGAAGCCACTCCTGACATAGTCATCGAGTTTGGTACCCATGGGGGCACATCACCCACTGAGCAGTCTGCAGCATGAGGTGTTATTGGCCGGGTTGTACAGGAACATCCAACTGTCAGGAAATAAAAGCAGGTACCAGATCAAATATGATAATTTTCTTTCTCTCATCAGAAAGCTTGATCATTGCTCTATAACTGTAGGAGTTTTATTCCTGAACCTCAGAAAAACCACTTAACAAACACAAAATTATAAAAAGAGTATTCTTCGTGGAAAGTTGAAAATTTAGAGAGGAATGGAGCTAGGAAGATTTTCGTGTATGACCACTACTGTTAGCCAGCACATCTTACTCAGTGAGCAGTTTTAAACAATCTGCATTATTCAAGAATTCAAGCTTTGTAAGACCCTCAGAATGAGGAGTCTCCCAGTTTCCATCGGTATCCCCAAGAACTCAATGTCCAGTCCAGTTGCTGCAACATGCAAGAGGCTTTAATGAACAGGAAACATTTGTGCAAAGGGGCCCCTCCAGCAGGCAGACTAGTGAGAAGAAGCCATCTCCTCCCTCCACCCCGCCACATGCACAGGTGTTTTTAAAGGCAAATACCCCAAGCTTAGGGAGGGGGTGGGACCCTCTGTCCATTGAGTACATGACCCTTTGAGGCTGGTCTCCCTATTAGGGTCAACAGACCTTAGGGCCTCAGGGTGTGCTAATTAATCTTGTCTGGGCAAACCAGAGGTGCAGTTATCTATTTGTTTCTTAAAGACCCCATTCACCACCTGCTGACTCACAAGAAAGGAGGGGCAGTGTAAATTCTTGGAATCTTGTTTTCTCAGGGCCTTGTGAGGGGAAGTTAGCAGATTCCAAGGAACAGATATTGCTAGGGGTTAACTTTCCAGTTTAGTCTGTCCTTCATTTAAAGTGGGGCGTTTCTCTAACTTTACTTTTTTGTCTTTCACGCCCTATATCTTATCTCTAGAGAGTAAAGTTCTAGTACTCTGATCTACAAAGCACCCCACCCAGAACCCGCACTTTCCCCACCCTGTGTCCTACTGCGCCCACTGCTCCACTGGTCTGGTTGAGCACTGGGACCGAGAGCGGGTCAAATAAACAAAACACCTCCACCTCCGGAAAATTTCTTGGACCTGCTTTGAAAATACTGGACCCCTCTATCCCGCTGGAGCAACCAGTGTGCCCGCCTGCCTGATGTTTATCCGTCATTACTGAGGCTCTGCCGGGGGAGAGACCTCCTAGAGTGACTGGAACAGACAGAGTTACAGACATGGAGCACCTCTCACAACTCTGTCCCCAGGAACTCCTTTGCAAACACACGGTTCCGGGACTGTCCCCTGCACAAGCAGCTGCGATCTCACAAGCGGCTGCGATCTCAGGACTTCCGCCTTCCGGTCACGAACTAAAGCTTCCGGTTCGTGGCTGTCAGTGTCCCCGGAAGACACACATGGAAAACATGCTTCTAGTTCCACCCGGCCAAACTGACACACGATTTCCGCTTGTGAACCAAGGACGTCAGGCTTCCAGTCACTGACTTGAGCTTCCGGCCTGTCACACAAAATGGTCCCCAGGAAAGGTTGCAACGAAGAGATGCACAACTTGAGTTCCACCCATGAAGTAAACAGGACGGAGTGCGCTGCAGCCTGAGTTCCGCTTCTGGCACATTACTTCCGCTTACGGATGGTGCAACATGCGATTCCCTGCCCACCGGGCGGCGATTAAATCGGATCCACTTTCGGCCCAGGAAGGGAATTGATCGCATCGGACATTGCGGGCCCGATAGGAAACGCCTTAAGGGACGGGACTAACAGGTCCAAGTGAACAGGTCAGAAACGGCTGATTCTGACCGCAAAAGAGGCAGCACAGAGCATATTCCCTGTCACTCATCGAGGCGGTAGGTGGGACTTCCGGGTGCGGCGAACAGGGCAGAAACAGAGATCGCAACCCTAGGTTTCCGTGCACCCCTCTGGTTTTCGCTGTTTCCCTGTTTATGCCACGGTTGGCAGCAGGGTTCCTGTTGCCGGGGAAACCGGGTTGGGACTTCCGGCAACATGGTAAATCGGGGCGGGACTTCTGCGTGGGAGCATTGACCAGGAATTAATGACTTAGAGAGGTTCCCAGGGGATGGGCGGTGTCACGGGAGCCGTGATGTCAGAGGAGTTACAGGCGTGGCCTGTAGGGCACACAGCTGTCAATCAAACACCTGTCATTCAGTCATTCATTCACTCATTCATTCAGTCATTCACTCAGCCACTCATTCATTCAATCACTCATTCATTTAGTCATTCATTCATTTATTCAGTCATTAATTCATTTACTCAGTCATTCACTCATTCATTCAGTCATTAATTCAATCATTCATTCATGTAGTCATTCATTCATTGATTCAGTCATTAATTAGTTCATTCAGTCATTCATTCACTCATTCAGTCAAAGGTCAGTCATTCATGAAGTAATTCAGTCATTTCAGTCATTCATTCATTAGCTCATTCATTCATTCATACATTCATTCATTTACTCATCCATTCAGTCATTAACTCATTAATTCATTGTACAATCATTCATTCATTCAATCACTTCCTGTGTGTGCTGGAGGCGGGACTTGCGGTCCCTGAGGCTAAGGCTCTGACATAGACAGGCAGTAGGCAGGATTTCCTGTTTCCTTTTACCTACACTGTAGCCCATGGTCATCTTGAACCCCGCCGTCTTTTTTGTACACCCAGGGGCAGGAAATAAGTCCCATCATCTCAGAGGAACCGGAATTGGTTGTCTCAAGCCGGAAGTGGACAATTTCTGGTCCCTCCCAGAACGGAAGTGAACCCCCCAGACCGGAAATGTGCGATCCTTTCAACATGGAGCTGGTTCCACTCACCAGGCTGCTGCAGGGGAAGTGGGTGGTGCTGGCGGTCCCAGGAGGCGGGACATCCTGTCCTCCATGGTGACTTCCAGGGGCAGGGCCTGCTCTGGGATTGTCAGCTGTGACTTCCAGGGGTGGGGCCTGCTGTGACTGACAGCACCCCCCCCCAGGGACTGCAGTTCGAGGTCGTACCCTCCCACTTCTAGCAGTCCCTGGAGAAGGCTGGGTTTCCGGCTCCGCCCAAATATGCCTGGGAGACAGCAAAGCTGAAGGCTCTGGAGGTGGAGTCGCTGCTGCGCAGGGTGAGGACGGCCCCATCCCTTCTGGTCAGGTGGTAGGCCCCACCCCTTCCTTTCGAGGCCCCGCCCACAAGCCTGCCCCGCCCTCTGCTCTGCAGGACCTGCACCCTCCTGATGTCATTATTGGAGCTGACACCATTGTGGTGAGTGAGGCCCCGCTTCCGGCCCTGCCCGCCCTGCCCCTCACTGACCCGGCCCCTTGGCATCTGGCTCCCGCCCACTGCAGGCCGTGGATGGCGTCATCCTGGAGAAGCCAAAGGACAAGGATGATGCCTACAGGATGCTGCGCAGGTGGGCGGGGCCTGAAGGGGCGGGGCAGACCCACCCAGGGCAGAGTGGGCGGGGCCTCTGCATGGAGCTCCAGCCTCTGCCCACCCCAGCCCTGCCCCTTGCCAACCACGCCCTGTCCCGCCTTCCCTGGCCCCGCCCAGGCTGAGTGGCCAGCAGCACAGTGTCATCACCAGTGTGGCCATCTTGAGGCCACTGTGGCGGAGGCAGCTTCAGGAGCCAAGTTCCACATGCCCAGAGGCCCCAGAGGCGGAAGGGGACCCAGAAGCAGAAGTGGAATTGTCACTGTTCCACGAAGAGACCCGTGTGACATTCTCGCGGCTATCGGAGCCACTGCTCTGTGAATACGTGGAGAGCGGGGAGCCTCTGTGAGTGGGTGCGGGGTGGGGTGGGTGGGGCCAGGAAACCTGGAAGTGAGGCCTGAAAAGGAAGAGCTGTCCCTGGCGGGCGTGGGTGTGGCTGAGCATGGCACCTGGTGTGACCTCGTCCCTGCCTTGCACCCAGGGACAAGGCTGGCGCCTACGGGCTTCAGGCGCGAGGCGGTGCCCTAGCAGAGCGCGTGGAAGGGGATTTCTTCAATGCCGTGGGGTTTCCACTCAACCGCTGCATGCGTGAGCTGGCTGCCATCTTCCCGGATGTGGGACCACACGTCCCTGTCAGCCAGCGTCCGGCCACACCCCAATAATGAGGATTGTAGATGGAGAGTGAGTATGTGAGTGACTGTCCGGGCGGGAATTCTGGTGAGAGAGTGACTGAAGGGGTGGGACTTCTGGTGAGTTTGTGAAGCAGTGACCCATTTCCCATGATGCCCTTGGTGCATTGTGTTTGATTGACAGAGCAAGCTTCCCTCAATTGCATCACTTCCCAGTGCTAGGACACAGGACATGGGGTGAGGTGTGTGGAGGCAGGGTTAGGGGACAGGCCCACCGAGGGGAGTACACCTAAACCCCCCCCTGTGGCCCCGCCCCTCCTGATGCCCCGCCCTCACCATCTCCATGGGCCCTGCCCTTGCCCCCACTGGGTCCTGCATGAGCAGCTTCACCATCAGATGCCTGTGATGGACATTTGACATCAGGAGCAGGGTCAGGGGAGGCCCCACCCCCTGCCCGCACTCTGATTTGCATATTCAAGAGCTGCCTGGAGACTCAGAAGACATCAAGTGCAGAAACTGCTGGGGTTAATTTGCATGGCCACACCTCCAAATGACCTAACCTGCATGTATTTGCAGGTCAAAGTCCCAAACAGATGGGAATACTTGCATTCATTTGCATAGCAAAAGCATGCAAAGCAGCACAAATTTGCATATTAAAGTGTATTTCCGAAACTGGGGTTTGCTCATTTACATACTCAAATGTGAAGCCCCAATCAGACTTCCAGATTTCCAGGCACTGTGCTTATTTGCATAATCAAAATTACTAGTGCATCCTTTACGTAACAGTTTAGTAGCCTCATTTGCATATTTAAATGAGTGGCAGGTTTTTACTGCTCAGCATCAGGCCCCACCCGTTCAGCACTACCCTAGCTCACCTGTCCCCTACCCCGAGGTCACAGTGTCCAAGGTCACAATCAGTGACCCTCTCCAGGCCCTGCCCTCAACCACACCAGGCCCTTCCCCACTTTCTCTCCTAGGGTCCCCGAGGGCAGGGCCGGGGTCTGGGTATTACCTATGGTGCAGACAGGACTTGGTCCTGGCAGTGACATCACAGGAAATTGTGACTGTGAGCAGGAACTGCCCTCCTTCCCTATCCTCACCATCTCCACCCCCAGCTGGGCATGGCAGGAGTCTCCTACCAAACTCTTAGGTTACCAAGCAGCAATGCTAGGACCCAGAGGGCAGTGGCCATGGTGAGCAGGTTATGAGAGTAAAAACCCTGAGGATGCTGAATGTGGCCCTGTGACATCACAGAACTCACCCCTCCAGGCCCTTGTGATGTCAGTCACCGCAGGCCCTGCCCCTCCAGCTGTCAATCACTACAGACCCCACCTCCTGCCTCTGGGCCATGAGGTCGGCTGAGGGTGTGATCTACAGGCTGACTGGGCGGGGCCATGTCAGCTATCTTCATAACGGTAAACGGGCAGGCTGCAAGCCGAGGGCAGGACTTCCTGGCAAGGGAAAACTGGCAGTAGAGACTCAGGTCAATCATCAAGGGTGGGGCATGACTTCTGCTCCCAGATCGCAGCCAAGGCTGACCTGAGCCAAGTTCATCAGGAACTTTTGTAACTGCTGTGGCTGGGACTGCATTTCCCAGCATCCTATGTGGCCACTTACTGCTTCCCTGCCCAGAGACTTCTGGGTTTGGATGTTCATGTCCAGGACTGCATTTCCTAGCATCCTGTGCAGTCGATTCCTGTCTTTATGCCCAGGGACTTCCGGTTTTCATCTGTACCGGCCAGGGACTGTAGTTCCCAACATGCTCGGCGGTAGCTTTCTGTTTTTCAGCAATGAAACTTCCAGTTTGTAGTTTTTGGAGGCCCAGGACTCCATTTCCCAGCATCCTCTTTGGCCACTTCCTGCTTCCCTGCCCAGGGACTTCTTATTTTCATCTTTGGCAGCCAAGGACTATATTTCCCAGCATGATTTGTGTCCGCTTTTCTATGAATGGACTTCCGGTTAAAAACTTTGGGGTCCAGAACTGCACTTCCCAGCATGCTGTGTGGCTGCTTCTTTCTTTTCTCCCCTTGACATTCTCTTCTGGACTTCAAGGCCCCTAACTACAGTTCCCAGCATGTGCTGGGCTTGTTTCGATCTTTTCAGTTCCTAAACTTCTTCTGGTCTCTGAGGCTCCAGGACTCCATTTCCCAGCTTCCTGTGGTGCCGCTTCCTGTTTTTTCAGTCCTGGAACTTCCACCATTTAAAGGCACATAATAATTTAGAAATATTTGAGACTTAGAACAGTTGAATTTAAGTTGTATGAAGTTAGCTTACATTTACATAAAGTTAAGTTGAAATCGAATGTACAGATATATTATTCAGGACTGGGTAAATTGAGAAGGACAAGAGTGTGAAGCTATGTATAACATAGTCAGAGAAAAAAGATATTACAGACAAAGAATAAAAGGCAAACGGTAAATGACTTCCAGGTTCTGTTGGTGGCAGAAGCTGGCTAGACTCTTTCTGCCTAGATGGCTGATGTAGCAGAAAGAAGAACCATGGTGGGTAAAGCTAGGCCACATGGTCAAGATGGTGGCTGCCATAAACATATTCCCAACAGCTGAAAGAAATAGTAAAGTTTTGAGATATAATTTTGTCTTGAGCAGATGCTGCCTCAGCCCAGCCCACCATGCTGAGACAGGTTGCAGCTGGGGCAGGCAGGAGAATTTGAGCGTGCCGGGAAGAGAACCAAAACAAGATTAAGGAAAGAGATTGTTTAGCAGAGATATATATAAAAAATATATATATATATATAAAAAAAAAAAAAAAACTCCTTCCATCTATCTGTTCCCTGGCAGTAATTTGAAAGATCCCATAAAATATCGGGATCTAGAGAGCAGTTACATGGCCAATTTGAATTATTTTCTAGGGGATATCTAGGCTACTTTTCAGTACAAAGGTAAATAAGTCTGGGTGACTTTATAAGTGGCATTAAGTGAAAGGGTTTTAATTTTCTATCAGGCATCCCAGTGGAGTGGTTGGGGATATTTCCTTGGTCGGTTTATTCCCCATGGGTGGAGTGAAAGTGACCATGCAGTCTTGGAACTCACCAGCCCAAGAGTGTGGCCACACAATTAGCGAGAATGGCAGAGCGTTATTCGAAGCTCGTCAGCCCAAAAACGTTGCCAGGACCAACAGAGGCCGGAAAGACTCAGCAGTCTGAGAACAGAGCCGATATACCACACTGGGAATTATGTCTTCCACCCATGGAATGTACCTGACCTTAAGGAATTGGGTTAAAATGTAAAAGGGTACCTTACCTAATTGAAGCCTGTGTGGGGTGGTATTTCCAGTGAAGGGGGGGGTGATGGTGGTGGAACGCTGGTATCTGAAACAAGATCCTGAGTGTTTCTGGCTGGGCCGCCCACCACCAGACAGCTGCCAGTGACCCTCAAGGAGAGCCTGCCTGGGTTTCAGCACCAATGTTGTTCTTTTCCTGTGCAGCTAATGCCTAAGAAACACAAACAGGAGACTCAGCACCCACGTGGAGATTGTTGAGAGAAGGGAGAGAAAGAGGGGTAGCTGTTGGCCAACTGAAAGCAGGAGAGAGAGAGAGGGGTGTGGGGCACTTGCTTTAAAAGGGGAGGCTTGCACATGTGTAACTGAGTCCTGTGGCAGCCAGGTAAAGCTTGAGCCATCAGGTAAAGCTGATGTAGCGATGACAAGGCAATGAGGGTCCTGCCCATCAAAAGGGTGGTGGGGGTCAAATGGCTGCTAGTTCCTAACAATCAGATTACTAAGTGGAGTCACTATTTAGCCACACATGTAGTTAAGTGTAAGCCACTAGTTAGCCACAAACTAACCCACTAGTTAGCCACACATACTAGCTCACTAGTACCCACACACACCATGCCACTTGTTAGCCACATACTTAACTCACGATTTAGCCACACACATGAAGTCACTAGTTAGACAAACACCTAAATCAATAGTCAGCCCCTATACCTATGTCCCTAGTTAGCCACAAAAACTAAGCCATAAGTCCATCACACAAATAAAGCAGTACTTAGCCACACACACTAAGACAGTAGTTAATCACACACCTAAGTTACTATTTAGCTACATGCCTAAGCAGTAATTAACCACATTGACAAAGTCACTAGTTAGCCACAAAGCTAGGTTACTAGTTAGCCACAGTCTCTATGTCTCTAGTTAGTTACACACAATATATCACTACTTACCCAACCATACTAAGTGACTAGTCAGCCACACATCTAATTTACTAGCTAGTCACAACACCAAGAAAATAGTCAGCCACACACACACACACACACACACACACACACACACTGAGATAGTAGTTAGCCATTCACCTATGTATTTCTATGTATTTAGTCAACTACACACCTAAGTCACTAGTTAGCTACCAACACTAGGTCACTAGTTATCCACACACATTAAATCAGTAGTTAGACACACACTATGTCACTATTTAGACACATACTAAGTCTGTCTAAAAGAAAAACAGCTCACACTAAGGTGGTCCCAGGACATGGGAATCAGGCCTTTAATCCCAGCTGCAGGGATTTGGAGATGGGAGTGACATGGCTGGACAGAGAGAGGAAGATAAGGTAGAGGAGCGAGAAGAGCATGCAGTGAGATGATTTTGATTGAGAAGTTAGTCTGAGGGATCAAAGTGGAGTCAATCTGAGTAGGCAGTGTGAGGACAGAAACACATCGCTTGTCTGAGATTAGGTAGAGAT